AGCACTTATAAGTTTACAATTGAGCTATTTCTCATACAGACTTCACATAGTCTGTTTCATGTTAAGTAGCACCACGGACTTGGATTTATTTATTTAACAATAATGACTTATGCTCATGAGTAAGTTAGAGTAAGGCAGCTAATTTTAAATGAAACTAAAAGGCACACTCCTGGATATGAATTTCTGTTCACAGACCTGATGATCTCCTGAGGATATGTCAAATCCTTCCATCTATTAAAGTCTGTTTCAGTACTAGATATTTTGTTTCATTGATCCAACTAGATTTTTGTTCTAGAACATTTTTAAAACATTATGAGTTACCTTTTCATTTAGTATATAGGAATTCAGGTTGCCTCTAATCACTCCTAGTTTCAAAAACTACCTTGACTTTTTTCACCTGGAAGACCATTCCAACAAATTTAAAAAAGGGAACAAAACCATTTAGACAGTTTTCAGTACCTTACAGCAAGGTTCTCGGTGTTCTTCATTTGCTCCTACACATTCTCTTAAGATTCCTAGATGTTTTGTAGTTTTTGTGTGTGTGTTTTGCCTCTTGTGAATAAATCTTTTTTAAGCTGTTATATTTTCTATGAAATCATTATTGCTGGCATACAGTAAAATTTATCTTAGCTTTTCAGTTGCCTTGTTTGGGTTTTCACTATACATAATCATATTATCCTCAAACAAAGCTAAGTTTTATCTCCTTTCCGGTAGTTAACGATTCTTATTTATATTCTTTGCTGTACGTCAGAATTTCTAGAGCAATATTGATAATGGTGACAAGAGTCATCCTATTTTACATTTATTTTAAGTTACTATTTAGACTTTAATATTGATTCCACATTTTTCTTGGGATGAGTTCATGACACAGATAATTCTGCCTTTTTTACTTAGCACTAAAGCCCCTATAGCCTGTCTTTCCTTGTAGCTTTCATTTTTAAAACCATAATAGGAGATAATCCATAACCCACCCTCTGAGCAGAACATGAAGAAAGGCTTAATTTGTCTTTCCATAGTCCCAGCTTTGCTCTAGCTTTCATTCTTTCATGCAGAAGGTATCATCTTTCAGTTGTCCAGAGTCCATTTCCCAACTGGAATACAATTAGCTTTTGAGAAACTTCCCATTCCAACGGGATAACCTTTGGTGGAACTGTAACGAAGAGACTGGCCTCCTTCCCGTCTCCTTAACTGAATGGATGGGTAGATAGCCCAAGCTAAAATTTTCAGAAAGTCTTTCTCTAGAATTTGCATCTTTAGCAGTGGGAAAAAGGCAGTGATCTTTAGCAGAATTGTTAGCAGAAAACAATGAAAACACGTGGGTTTCCATTCCATCCACATGGTGAGATCATGAGTAGACTGCTCTTGGTGTTGTCTGGGCTCTCGCTGCCTAGACTCCAGAGCTGCCTGTCTGTCCATTTCCAAACTGAGTTCTCCAGTTTCTCATGGATTCCATGAGTCCCAGGTAATCTTCTAATAAATTACCTGTGAGAATACTTTTTGCTTGCATCCTCAGAAAGAATCTTAATTTGATATACAATATTATGGTAGATACCAAGAAAGCAATTGCCACACGACATTCCTTCCCCAAGTCCAGGCAACTTCCCATCAAAACAGCCTCATTTTCCACTCTCCTCTCAAAGAGGAGTATTCACAAAAGTTTACATTCAGGAAGAGATAAAAATAAGTGTATTAGCAAGGAAGTTTGTTGGAATTGATTTATTATTAATCATCATAATGCCATCTGAAGAGATCAATGAACTGGAAGTTCCATCTCAATTTTAAACTTGGTTCTTGAAGTCAATAATCCAATCTTTGGAAAGTCATAAATATTTGCCAAAAAAGTAAGGCAAACCTTATGAACTCCAAGCCATTGTGAATTCTGGCGAGCCCCAGTTTCCGTTTAGTTATACACTGTCAACAAGAGCTTGAACATTAACTTAAATGTTTAAAGATACGTGAAGAATGGTTTGTGTTCTTAAATTTGGCAGACTCTAAAGTATACCAAGAAACCAATTATTCAGAGAGATATTTTGAGTGCTACACTCAAATAACCTAGATGATTTTATGAATCAGATTGAAGTTTTTTTTTTTTAATAAGGGACATAAGCAATTTTCAAAGCTTCCAAATTCCAAAGTTCCAAACCTGTTTTAACACAGATTGTTGAGTACATGGCCAGCTGTAAAAAGTATCCAAAGAAAGTAAATTTGTCTTTGACTGATCCTGACTTTCTTTTCCACATCCCTCCTCGTCCTAAACCCCTTTCCCAAGTCTCGAAGCTCCCAGTGAACCTATGCTGCTCCAACATTCTAATTTGGTTAGAACGTTCCATTGAGGCTGGTTCTACGGTGAAGTCGTATCAACCTCAGCATCTAATTTGTTTCTGATTTTTCCCAGGAGAAAGAAATCATTGACTCACACAAATTTAAAGTTTTCAGTATCCTTATCAATTAAAGCAACTTGGAAGCTTCAGGTTAAGCCACTCGCAATGGTTTATCAATGGCAAACTTTCCTCTTCATGAATATACGAGTCAGCTAAGCAATAACCGAGATGGTAAACTATGAAATTTGGTCAACGTTTCACAGTGTGATATGTTAAAGTCATGTTTTTCAACCCTGGTGGCTGCTGGGGAGCTGAAATATAGACACAGATAATGTGACTCTCGGGCCCGATGTCATGAAGATGATCCGTGGTGAAGAGGACAAGCTTGGGAGCCAGACACCAGGGCTTCAAATTCTGGCTCCAATATTTATCAGCTATTATTTGGACAAAGTTACTTAAAAACTCTAAGCCTTAGTTTACCACCTACAAAATGAGGACAATAATATTACCTACCTCCCTGGACTGTTGATTATTGGGTGAGAGATACTGCCTAGTGTGGGGCCTTGTACATAAAAACACTCAGCAAACGCACATTATTAGTTTTATTCCCTGTCATTTTATTGGTATATGCTATGGTGCGCTCATTCAGAATATGCTAAGGTAGTGTACACAAAGAAGTTGACATAGGCAAACATTACATATTGGTTTAAAAAAAAAAAGCTGGTGCAGAATCACATCATCTTCTTTCCTAAAAAGTGTCACAATCACAATTATGCAAAAGAATAGCAGAAGATTTATTCCAAGGACTACGCAGAAAGAAGTGAACCTTGTGACACGTTTGTGCATTGCTAGTCTGCCACGTGTCGGTGTTTGGCATATAGTATATTTGAAAGATGATAGGGATTTTTAATTCTTTAAAAAATAATTTATATAAAATGTGTATATATATACATAAAACAACTATATATTTGTATATGGACTATAATATTGAGATCTATTTGCAAAATAACTGTTTATTATCCACCTATCTAATGAATTTCGATGAACACTTCGTGCAACGCCTGAAGCACGGCAGCATAGAGCAGAGTCCTGAGGCACTCTGCACAGAGGGACATCCTCAGGCTTTGGAACCAGAGAAGCCTGGGTTCAGATTCTAGTGCTCTTTGTATTCCTGTGCTTTGTCTCCTTCGTGCCTTTGCTCCTGCAGCCCCCGAGGCTGAAATGCCTCCTCCCCTACTCCCCCGTCCTTCACTGGCTGACATTTACCCCTTTCAAAACACTCATCTTGCTTACCTCTCCAGGAAGCTATCTGTAATCCCTCAGACCAAGTTGGTGTTGTTCTCTGAACTCCCAAAATATCCCGTGCACGTCCCTGTTGGTAAGTAAGTGCACTTACTGGTGATGTTAAAATGCCCTCTGCCCCCACTGGACTGTGAATTGCAGAAGTTAGGGACTGTGTTGTATTCATCATTGTGCCCAGTCCTGAGCACCATGCCTGGCACAGAGAAGTCACTCAATGCATGTCTTTTAGGGGAATAAATGAATAAAGGACAGTAAGTAATCCAAGGGTATAGAGCTAATAAAAGTTGGAGACAGATTTGAGCCCAAGTCTGTCTGGCTTCAAACTCCACCCTCTTTCCTATTTCAGGAAAAAGGGCCAGCTATGGGGAAACAATGGAGATTCATGGTTTATCCCTGGACAGGTTTAGTAGATGAGCCTATATGGGTTTAACTTTGGCAAAATGTGTATTCTTTACGAATAGAAAAAGATGTTAACATTTGTTAAAATATGTATTCTAAAACTGCTGACTAGATGGAGCTCATGGCCTACAACCAAGGCTGGTGTTGGAAGCCCTAATCGCCTTGGAATTATTTGGGCTGGTTGGACTGAGTCTCGGAAAGCTGCAATTTCAACCAGCAACCCAGGTTCTTAGGATTACATTTCGTCTAAAAACCCTTGACATAGTCTTTGAGAAAAAGGAATTCTAAATTTTTCAGTTTATATAGTATGGCAAAAATTTATGGGAAAAACGAATACTACAATGTATCTATAAATATAAGGAGCTGTGCTTTGTCTCCTGTGGGCTCCTGTGGGCAGGGACTCCTTCATCTCCAGCCCCGGTCGCGGGGCCTGGTATAGAGGACATGCTCCAGGAACGTTTACTCAAAGAAGGGAGAGAGGAAAGATAACTGATTAGAATGTAACATTTTTAAACCAGAAAGGGAAAAATTATTTCTCAAGTTATTTATTGATATTTAGGCATTTCATGTCATTTTCTCAAACTAATGGTGCCTTGACAGTCTAACTCAGGGATTCCCAAATCCTCCCAGTCTGAGGATTAGTGTGACAAACTTTTTACAGGCCATTGCAAAGTGAGAAAATAGAAACAATGCAGTGTGTTTTTCATTTTGGAATACTTATTCAGTTTAACAAAATGTCTTTCATCTAAGATTATGCCCTTGCTAAATTTCCAGGATTAAGATGTTCTTTTCTTTTATAAAAATATGGTAATAATAGACAGAAGGTTTAACAAATGACCTTATTTGACAAACCTAGGATTGCCCCCCACATTTAAAAAAATTTTTATTTATGAAATCCCCAAATCCACTCTTCTACTCTGATAGTAACTTCATAGCCAGAAAGGAGTTTTTGGTAACAAGGTCTTGTGGGCCTGAAACATGCCGGGAGGCATCTGGTCAGCTCCAATAGTTGAAGAAATTATGGTCGTAAGGATTGCTAATCACCATAGTCACGATCCACTGGAATCAGATGACAAAGGAAACAATCAAACACAAGCAAAATAATTCTTTCTACTATGAAAAGAGTGGGCCTTATCTTACATTGTACCCCCTACTGACAGAGGAGCTTAATTTATTGATACATGTAATTTACTTATAATTTTAAAATTTGAAATTACTCATTAAGGGACAAACAAAATGAGTACCTAATTAGGAGCTTTCTTGTATGAGCCAACCAACGCAAAGGTATGATGTTAGGTGAAGGGTTTTCCTGACTTCTAAAATCTTCCAGGTAAGAGATTCCTTGTGTTTTTGCTCTGTAAATATATTTACATCAAATAAGAAGATAGGCTGAGGTAGAAGTCACTGCTTTGCTTCTCTTGCATCAGCTAAAGTTTTCTTTCTCAGATTTACACTTTGCCTTTGCTTAATGGACTGAGAATTCCCCAAACATTTGGTTCCTCAAATAAAGTTCTACGATAAATGTTTTCCTATCTCCACTAAGTATGACTACTTCCCCAGTGACCCATAGTGTGAAATTATTTCCCATCATGATGAAGACAGAACAGCAGATGTGTTAATGATGCCCTCTGGTCTCTATTTACTCAGAAGTTTGGCAAATGAGAGCACAGTGAGAGAAATGCTGCTTATCCTTGTCTCTTCAGACCGTGGGCTCGAATCGCAGCTTCAGAGTGGCAAGCTGTAAACGAGGTGCAGTGGGCATTGATAAATCTCCAGCCAACACATTTAATTACTGTTATTAGCAATTCTCTCCAGACTTTACTTTTGACAAAGAAGAGTTTGCAAACAGTGATATCATATGCTTGAAATGTGTTGATAACTTTAAGTGGCTTAAGGTTTTCATCTTGTCTATATATTCTCCTAAACAGAAAATTATTAAATGTTTGGGGAAGAAGGAAAAACGCATAGATCATCCATTGGTTTTCCTTCTTTGGTTCATAGAAGGAACAATAAAATAAAACACAGCACAACAAAACACCTCAGTAACACCTGATTTACTACCATGTAGTAGACTAGAGATGGAATCACCATACGCTAAATTTGAATATGTAAGGCTAGATCACAGTTAGTTAGAGTTAGTTAGAGGGCCAAACTAAACTAAATTATCCCATTATCCAACATTCTCCTCTTGTGTTCTCTGTTGAACGAGACCACTATCCTTGGAATTGCTCGAGCTGGAAATCTGGGAGTAATCCTTGACTCCTCCTTCTCCTTACTCCTCATATCCAGTCAAGCGTGGGCAATGCATCTTATGTCAGGTCTTAGCTCTCCCTCCCATGGACTATGGATAAATCTCAAGACTGGTTTCATTCCTCAAGTCTCGACACCTCTAGTCCATTCTCCACACGGTAGCCACTGATGCTTCTAAATTTGGCTCCTAGTCCAAATGTCTTTCTGCTGTTGAACATCCTGCAGTGGGTTCGTAGTACTTTTTGTATTACTTACACTGTAATGTCCAAATTCCTTGGCTAACATGAAGACCTTCTGTGATCTGTCCCGCCTACTTTTCTATCTGTATCTCCTACCCCCCTCTTACAAGCATATTCTGTTTCAGACACACCAAGTGATCTAAATTTCCTGAAAACTCTGCGTCTTTTCAGAACTCCCAGGCTTTGAACACTCTATTCCTGCTGCTCAAAATGCCCCTCACTGAATTGTTTGCTTTCCTGTTCTTGGAGCCTCACCTTAAGCATAACTCTTTTCTGAAGTTGTCTGACAGCAGCCGGCTCCGGCCCAGGTGGGGCATCCTTCTCTGGTTTCCAAAAGCACTTCAGGCCTAGTTCTATTATTGCACAGGACACAGTGCACTGTGATGATCTGTCCTCACAAACAAGTGAGCTTTTAATAAATATTGAGTAGAATATTTAAGAGAATATATGCAAGGTATAAATGTTAGTTATAAAAGTCACAATGAGCATCCTTGCAGCCTACACCCAGTTTAGGAAAACAATCATTGTTTAAATTTTTTTTTTCTTATTGATTTGTGGTTCTCTGCATATTCCTGATGCTAACTCTTTGTCAATTATGGGCGTGACAAGTATCTTCCCTGAGTTAGCAGCTTATTTTTGGAGTTTCTGACAGTGACTTTCACTAAACATAAATTCTTCATCTACATGTAGTCAAATTTATCAATCATTTTCTTTGTTTTGTGCTTTTTGTGACTTCAGTAATCCTTCTCTACTATAAGACCGTAAAGAAATTTTCTATATTGTCTTCTAATAGTTTTACAGATTTACCATTCATATTTAGGTTTTTTAATTCGCATTAATTCTGGAATTGATTGTTGTGTGTGGCGTGAGATAAAGCCCAATTTCATTTATTCTTCCTATATAATTGTCCCAGCACCATTTATTGAGACGTCTAATCATTCTCCATTAATCTGCTATTGGCAGTATCATAAATCAAGTTTCCATTTGTATGCAGGGAAAATATACGCTTTCACACTCTTTAAAGGCTCCAATTGATCTATTTCTTTATCTCTGTACCAATCCCACATGATCTTAATTATGATAACTTTATATTAACTCTTTCAGTGAGATAAAGGAGCATTCGCTTCACCACATTCTCTCTTCCTTCTCCTCCTCTTCTTTTTTCTTTTGCTTCATCTGGAAAGTTTGGGTTTATGTGGTCTTTTGTAATTCCTCATAAATTTTTGGGACAAGTTGTTGAATGACATACATACACACACTATGAGATTTTGATAGAGAGTATATTAAATCTACATATCATTTTAAGAAAAATTAACAGCTTTCCACAGTGGTTCTTCCAATCCCTGAGTTTGGTATATTTTATTTATTTACATCTTATGTCTTTTAATAAAATTTTAAACTTTTTCCATAAACAACTTTCACATCAATTTTAAAGGTACTTTATACAGTTTGATTATGTTATAAAAATAAACTTTTTAAAAGTTACAATTTCTAATCCTTTCTTGTTGTTAGAAAAGCAATATATTTCTGATTTCTTTATTAAATAGCAATTTTGCTAATCTCTTATCAATTCTAGAAATGTGTATGTATATTTGGGATATTTTATAGAGACATTCATATCGTTTGTCAATAATAACAGTTTTTTTTTCCTTTCTGTCTAATCCTTGTGCATTTCCCTCCTGCCTTTCTGCACTGGCCAGAGCCTCCAGCAAAAGAAGGAAACTGAAGTAGTTTTAGAGAGCTCTTTAGCCTTATTCCTCATTCTCAAGTGAATACTTTTAATATTTCACCATTAAGTAAGATGTCCATTGAAAACTTTCTTTTTTTATAGATACTCTTAATTAGGGTAAGGAAATTGATTTTTCCCCCAGTTGGATAAGCTTTTTGTGTGTGTGATCATAGATCAGTTTGAATTTTACCATGTGTCTGTTGAGATATTCAAATGATTATTCTCTCTTAATCTGATGTTATGTGAATTACTGCATGTGATATCCTAATATCAAAATGTCAAACCAGGCTTAGGTCCCTGGGGGAAACCAATGTAGGCATAGTTTATCTTGTTTTGTAATAACTCAGGAGTCTATAGATTGTTACATCTATGTTTATGAGTAGCAATCAACTTTAATTTTCCTCTCCTGTAGATCCTTGTCAGGATTTGTGTCAAGTTTATGCTAACCTCATAAAATCAACCAGCAAATTGATCATTTTCTGTGTCCTGAATGGTTTGAGTAAGAGGAGAATTATTTGGTCTTGGGGTATTCCATAGAACTTGCCATTAAAACTATCTGGACATGGAGTTTTCTTTATGAGAACATTTGAAACTGTTTATTTTAATGATCACAGACTATTTAGTCACAGGTGTTTCTGTTTTAACAAAATGTGTGGGGACCTAAAAACCAATGTCCTTAAAATTGTGCACTAAGAATAACAGAGTCCATGGGAAGAAATAGGATTAGTGGCAGACCACCCAGGCCCCATGCAGGTCTGTAACCAGGGTCCTAGCAAAGCAGTAATAATCCTGACAAAAAGATCAGCAGAGTAAATGCCGGCTGGAATTTGTACTCGGCTTTATAGTCAGTCAACTTCTTTGATGAAGGTTTGTGCTTGCTCCTTTGAACTGTGGATACATGAGTGCATCTACTTCCAATAGAGATCACTTTAATAAAAATAAAAAATAAAAAATGTAATCTAGGGCATGCCATTGATCATCAATCAAAAACACCTTTCACATTGGAGGAAATGCCTTTGCAGCATATTCCTCTGCACCCTCAGCCTCACCAGTTCGTGTGTGAAATGCTGGGGAAAGTACAGTTGTTTTCAAAGCCGCCAAAGCAGCCACTACTTGTGCTTCAGGAAGATTCCTAAGGTCTCCATATATTGCTCAGGCTTTTTCTTCAATTGTGAGGAAATGTGCCGTAATCACTTCAAAATATTAACGGGTCAAGAAAAAATCACGTAAGAACCATCATATAATTCTGAATTACACTGACATCCTCCTGCTATGTACCAATTGAGTATGAGCTAATTTGTGCTATAGAAATATACACTGTAGAACAGACTGTCTCCATTTCTTCTTGAGTCAGTTCTTATGAAGTATATTTTTCTAGGACTTCGACCATTTCACATAGGTTTTCAAGTTTATTGGCATAAAGTTGTTCATAATGTCCTCTCACTACTTTTTTAATATTTGCTGAATATGTAGTTTTGTAGACTCATCTATCTTTCTCATTTTTAATATTGTTTGTTCTCTCCCTCTCTCTTAAAAAAAATTCTAGGCTTTGTTGATCCTTTCTATTGTATGCTGGTTTCCTCTATCAATTAGTGCTCTGACTCTGTATTATTTCTTTCCTTCTATTTCTTTGTGTATTCCACTGTATTTTTTTCTAACTTCTTAATTTGGATGGTTATTTAGTTAATTTTCAGTCTTCTTTCCTTCTTTCTTCTGTTGTCTTTTAAGCAATTAAAAGAAAAACGATCCCTTTAAGTTCTGCTTTAGAGAACTTTTTCAAGCCTTAATACATTTGTTCATTGCCCAGT